TGCTGTTGTCCTACACAGCATCTTGTGAAGACTAATTACCTGCTGAAACAATATAATGTTATATTTTGCCTTGTTTTGCCTGTCTTAAAGCTTTCTTCACAAGTAAATGGGACTGGAGAGGACTCAACTAGGCATAAAAGAGAAAGCCTGTCTCTGAATAGGATCTGCTATGGTGTTTTGGGCTTTTTGCTTTAGTTTTAAAGTAGTTACAGAAAGGCCAACTAAGTTTAGGATTGCATTTCTTGGGGTCAAGACTTTAACCTACTTCCCTGATTAATAGAACCCCATCATCTGTTATTTAGCCCCCATGAGAAGAAACACACAAGTATGATTGAGATTTAGACTTGAATATTTGGTGCAGGGGGCAATCCTGCTTTTTCAAGTTAAGAATACAAATTTGGGTTGAAACAGCAGCAAACTGACTAAGAGCTTTGGATGGGCCTGATAAAAATGGTGAAGCAAAGGGACATGCAGTCCCACTTCCACCACACACAAACTGAGAACATGTCAATTACATCACTGTCAACAAAGAGGGAGGATGACTGACTGTGCTGTGCAGAGCCTGGAAGCCAAAGCCCCCAGTTGCCTGTTTGGCTGGGTGACCAGTTGCTAGTGATTAGCTGCACAGTAGCAAAGATGTCAAGTCATCCTGGACCAAATCTGCAATGGAGGCGTACTAGACTGCCATTGTTGATGTTGCTCAGACTGAGAACCAAACTGGCTTTTGTAGAAGTCTGCTGGGAGTACATTCTGGTACTAGGCAGGGCCAAAAGCTGGGTCAGATACCAGAACTTTGCATATTTAGCTTAGAGTTCTTCCTGCCAGTAACAAACACTTTAAGGGGGCATTCCAGCCATTTAGAATTGAGGGTGGGGAGAATGTGCAAAAGCTGGCAAATCATGAAAGGACTGGTGGTTGCAAGCAAAAGGTAATGCCAGGGGAAGGCATGTGTCCATCTGGAGAAGCTTGAGGTTCAACACCCTTGTTCTTGGATTAGTAATATTACAGCCTATTCCCAAATCCCTTTTACTCACCATGTGGGAAGACCAGAAGGAAGGGTGATTTGGGCTTCACCTGACAGACAAGAAGTGTCAATAAGAGGGCAGCTGTTGGGAAGATGTTCTGCTGTATGGTCTCTCTGGGAAGCAAGACAGTGGCCAGCCTGTCCGCTGTCCAGAGGGATCTGCCAAGGAAAAGAAAGGTGTATGTTTAGGGCCACAAATGCAGAAAGTGTTAAAGCTGCCCAGGAAGCCTACAAACACTGGCAGCTCAGAGCTCTGTCATCTGCCTGGTATGTGACATCCACTGAGGTCCCTGATGCTATGCAGGGCTGGGAAAGATAAATAAGCGTTCTACCTTTAAGGGCCACCTAGACATATTTTTCAATGGCAGTGAACAAGATGTCTTTCAAGAAAGTTTGATCGTCTCCACTGATTTGTGGAGGAAGTCTTGAACATGAAGAATGCTTGGCCTCACCATGGGTGTGCTGTCTGGAGAGCACTGATTGAAAAGATGACTTCACCTGCAGCAATGCAGTTCCATTGTTCTCTTTTGGTGAGCAATACGTTGGTGGGCACACAAAGAGAAGCCTTTGGTGAAGTCCAACTTATTTCATCACTCATGCTCGAGAACACAATCCTGTGTCCTGTCTGGGCAGGGAGCCAGGAGAGTCATGTCCACTCCCCGAAAAGCCAACAAAACCGCTTCAAAATAATACTTTCATACTTCATTTCCAAACAACAATACTCATAGGACAGAACCAGCACATTTGCTTTTAACTCACTTGTACAAAGGCTATTATAATCTGGCACCATGCGCCACCAAAAAGAAGACAATGGTCTGCATATAATTTGCATATACTAATTCATTTGTATAGATGCAGATATAGATATAATTATAATAATTGAGTTGGAGGTATTGTACATCTCACTATGGTGTGGGATCCTGTGGTTACCAGACCCGTGCTTCTGCTTGTTCAACCTGCTGTAAATGTAACAGTTTTTATGATTCACTTATCTTTAAACTGGACTTGGTCAGGACAACCCTTCAAAGACGATGGTCTTTTATAAAAGAGGACCCATGGCCATCCTAGGAACTGGTCTGGACTATAGTTTACATCATCTCTAGTCATTAGCCAGGCTGGTAGAGGAGTTATAGCCTGAAATATCTGGAGGAGATCATGTTGGAGAAAGCTGAGCTTGGATTTTATGAAACACACACATGTGTAGTAAATTATTACATGTTGTGGGTGTAATGTTTTGAGAGAGAAATCTAGACATCCTGTGGTGCAAAGGGATTGTGCACACTTCAAGTCTCAAAACAAGTTCTTAGAGATAATTGTTCAGGATGCTTCTTGGGGGAGATCCCAGTCAAACAGGACTATGGTGGTGCTGAGTAGCTTTGGGTCTTTTTAGCCAGCTTTGGACAAAAATGGTATGCTTCTTGTTTTCATCACATAAACAACACTCATGTCTAAGCCAGGCTCCCACAATTAAGAATTCTCAAAGTTTCCAAAGAAACAGGCAGAGAAAGCTGGAAGGAATTTCTTTATTACTTAGTTATGCCTGTCTTGTTTCTCCTTACTAGCTTATAGTCCCTTTCCAACCCCTAGGGACAATTAGGTGATGAAAGTGAAATAGGGAAACCATATAAGGAATCCCCTCCAGCTTACTTTGCCTCTCTTCTGAGGAGCTTTCAGAGAAATGAGAAATCCAAAATGAACACATTTATCTGTAGCACAGCTAAACAGTTTATGTAAGACAACGAGCCATGGTTTCTAGAGCTAGGGGTTGGTAAGGAAAGATTAAAAAAAAATTAAGGAATTCACATAGTTTCTGGAGCTATTTCATTGGCACCTAAGAGGGGAATTTAGAGTGTGAGCAGTCAGAGTCCTGAGAACAGAGAGGAGGATTCAGAGGGGTTCTGGACGAAGGGCAATATGGAAAGGCCCAGATGTTTTACCCTCAGAAACATAACGGTCAATCACATCCAGGCTTTGTTAGAAGTCAGAGGCACGGTTTGCACAATCACTGCGGCCCACTGCCAGCTACCGTCAGTCGCAGCACTTCTAGGTGCCGGATTTCCTTTCCAGACTGGACGTGCAGCTTCTTGATATGTGCAAACCAGCTAGGATGGGTGCTTGGCATGGTAGACAAACCACTCAGGACCTATGGGTGCTTTAGGATTGCAGGTGGCTTGCCAACTGTCCCATCAATGCACTTTTGCCTGGTTTGCACAGAACAAGGAGCTATGGCACAGCCTTACTACACCCCAAATATTCAAAGTAATAAGTGCCACTGCAACAAAAAATCCCACCAGGAAATTCACCCATGGTGGCTTCTCATTATGTGTGACCTGCACCAAAAGGTCAACCAAAAGTCTCAGAGTGATTAAGGCAGAGCTTGGCTTATAACGGCTATTTTTCGGTTATTGAGTATAACTTGCAGGCAGCATCTCTTGGGTCTAAATTAGGGAGCCTGTGGCCTTCCAGATGTTATTTGATCACAATACCTATCATCCCCAACCATTGCCCATGATGGCTGGGTCTGATGGGAGTTGGAGTCCAATATTTCATAGGCCAAAGTCCTTCCATCCCCTTGGTCTAAGGGCATAAAAACAGCCTCTGACAGATCAGGTCACAAATTAAAATTTGAGTTAAGGTAGGACTTCATTTTAGTCTTCTGCCCAGAATTGTGCCCAGCATTGTGCCTTCTGCCCAGTTTTAAAGTGGGTAAGTTAGCTAAATAAAACACATGACAATGTGAACACATTCTCACTAAAAACAAAAGTATGGTTTTCCAAAAGCTTAGCTAATGGGTTCCTGCGGAATCAGTTTGTATTGAGATACAAGCTGGCCTGGGCTGCCCCTGGAGGTAATGGATAGATCAGAATATAGTTATGCCAGGTTTGCACTTCCTGGATAGAGGAAATACATTTAGAAATGCACATTTTAAAAGAAAATATGGTTAAAATATTTAAAACATTTAAATGTGGTTTTGCATGTGTCAGGATCAGGATGTGAGTGACCCGGCTAGTGCCTGTAGAACCAGGAACAGCCTTGTGGGCACTTGCAGGGAACTCCTGAGGAGCAAGAATGCAGTGCAGCTGGAGGCTCTAGTGACCATAATAAAGGCTTTCTGGCACTGCTCTTCTTGGCCACAGCAATGCAAGTTGTCTTGGTGACGCAGTGTGCTCTGGCCCCTGCCTCTCTGAGCCTTGCTCCAGCTGCTCCTGCCGTGCTCCGTCCCTGTTCCAGTTTGTTCCGGCCTGACCCTGGTTTGTTCCCACCTTGCTCAGGCGGAACGTCTCCTGCAGCTTTGATCTGGACTGGTAACTTGTGCTTGCCTCAGGTCCCCGCCTGGTTGTAAAGCCCCACCCTGCAGAGGGACCCTGGTCCCAGCATCCTGCCTGTCCCAGCTGCCGTCCACATCCTGGCGCTTACAGCATGTGTGGATATTGCCATCGTTATAGAGTAATGCAAAGATGGCTTACGAGTGGAAAGCTGTGGTCGAGGAGAAGCGGGGTTGGCAGGAACACGGTGCACACATTTTTATTAGCAGATACCGATGTCATTGGTCACCCCACCCACAGCAGTCTTCTCTGTTCCCTCTGAACTTAGCTACAAGTTCTCACCGTAGCTGCTGGGGGTGAGGGACACACGTTTTCCCAACAGCAATATATCTTTCCCCCGTGGCAATGCAAAATAATTTGGCTTGCTCATGTATGGGCACATAAGGATTCACTTGAACAGACTGCCTCCTGTAGGAATGGGTGTATTCATACAGATGGAAACAGCTGCCTGCAATTTTGGACTCTCCTTTGGGGCTCAGCTATGGGAACTGTTATGTTGAAAGTTTTGCTACGCCACTCATAGATAGTTTCAGGATTCGTGCACCTGAAAGTGGTTCAGCCCTACCTCCCCAGATGAAAGATTTCTCTGCTTTATTTCACAGGTCACTGATAATTTAATGATTCCAGCCAGTGGTGAATAATCTTTACAAATGTGTCGCCATTATTATTTCTCCACACATGTGTGGCTTTTTCTTCTGTGTCAAGGGTAAGTTGAAATGTATGAACATATCTATAAGAGGGATGGGGAAGAAATTTATTCAGTCCATCTTTTGATGTGACCTAAATTGCATCACTTCCCCAAAGAATATGAGAACTGAAGCACAGTTATCACTCCTCTGAATTTTGTGATGCAGTTCTCCAATTTTTTTTAAAAAAAGCATTTAAATTTGTATATGTTACAGTCCCCCCTAAAATGCAGGTATTAGTAAAACAATGTACAGATCTGGGGAAAGTGCTTGCAAAAATGTGTAGTTTACAAAAAAGTAACATGAAAATGGGTATGAATTTTTGTGTGGACTATTAAAAAAAGAAAATGGCTGCAGAAACAGGATAAAGTGTGCTTATAGACTAGAAAAATGAGACACTCAAACTGACAGATTCATCTATTTCTTATCTGTAACACAGCCAAATAATTCATGAGCCATAGTTTCTAAAGCTAGAAGTTCAGTATGGTGAGCTCAGTTCTTGCACTCAGAGCAAATTCTTCGGCTGAACTAGTCCTTAATTCAGGGGTGTTGAAGCTCTGAGGGCAAGGCCTACATCAAAAAAGGTGGAACCAAAGATACTGGCTTCAAGCACTTCCTGCCAGGAACTCAGTCTCAGATAACACATTTCAACCATTCAAACAGGCAGGAAGAACCCTGCACAAAAGCTGAGGAACCATCAAACAACCACTGGGACCAAGTGAAGAGGGCATGGTCCTCTGCATCATCTGGGTTCTGAGGCTTCTTAGTTCCTGTCTCGTTTCCATTTCAGTGTAGTTGATGGATCTCTGGGTTCTAACAAAGACAACAAACAAAACCAAGCAGATGTTACAAGACTGAAGTCATCGCATCATAATCCAGCCTCCTCAAAGTGCCCCCACAGCATTCACTTGTTTCACCCATTTCAACAGTGTAGTTAAATTCTGTGCATGATATGACTCTGTATACCCAAAGGACCATTTTATTTGCAATGATAACTATGGGTTGACCTGGAGTATGGCTGCTCTTGAAGGATGATCCCACGTGTCATCCAAAGCAGCCATTGGGGGTTCCTTGGTGAATTGTCTAGCAAAATTATTATTGCAAGGCTAGGAAACTGCTCCTCTTTAAACTGCTGAGAAAATCAGATTTTCACAGAGCTTGGCTACTTTTTGAATTAAATGTTCTCCATGCCTGCTGAATGGGCAACTCTTGGTGTAAAGACTGAAATGGGAATATTGAACTCAGCCCAGTGAATTTGATATCAGGACACTTGTCTCTGGGAGGAACTACATGCCAGCACTGTAGTTTGGTTTTCTTTTTCATTTTACAGACATTTGGAAAATAAGATGTATCCTCTCTGGCCATTAACTGTCCCTGAACAGTAACCCCCCAAGCTGTAAGCATGAAAATAAGAGACACTTCTTGGCATTCTTAGTGACAGCTATCACTCATTCAACCTCTCTGAGGTTGTGGTGCTCAGCATGATTCCAAGAAAGTAGATTAAGACTGCAAACCAATATGCAATTACCTAGGAGTAGGCCCCCTTGAAATTGATAGGATTTACTTCTGAGTAGATCTACATAGGACTACACTGTTAGAACTAGGCTACTAATCTCAGGCTGCAGTTCTATTCATATTTACCTGGAGAAAAGCTTCATTTATTCTTATTATTAAAATAATATTTCTATACCACTCAATAGCCGAAGCTGTCTAGGCAGTTCACAGCAGCAGATCAAATACAATGCAAAATACACTACAAAATAAAATAAACATCATAAAATATAACACAGAATTTAAAAGTGAAATTTAAAACCATATCTTAAAGAGCTACAGTAGCTTGCACAAATTAGCTTACAACTGTTAAGGAGTTGAATTAATATCCCAATATAATTTACACTTAATTAAAAGCCCTGTCAGTTAGGGCAGTCTTAAACTGACACTAAAAAGATATTAAAGTTGACACCAGGGAAAACTAAGTTGGGAACTTATTCCATAACAATGAGGCTTATGTCTGAGTACCATAAGAGAAGAAGATGGTGGTATGTTAATTAATATTATTCCTACTACTAGATTTGCCACCTTTTTTGTATTGCAAGGAACCCAAGGTAGTTTACATGGTCCTCCGCTTCTCATTGCCTCCTCAGAACAACCCTGTGAGGTTGGTTGGGCTGAGAATCTGTGACTGGCCAAAAGCCACCCAGTGAGCTTCATGGCCAAGGGGTGACTAGAACCTGGACCTCCCGAGTCCCAGCCAATCTCCTCGCCACTGTACCACATGAGGTTTCAAGATGCAGGGGCAGCTCCCAATGTGGGCGGTCTGATAAGGAGTCTAGACAAATCCATAGAGGCTATGGCTAACAATGGCTGCTTATAAAAATGGCTATATGTTACCTCTGGTACACAGGTGGTACATCTGTGTACACTTGCTGGGAAGCAGCTCTTTTTCATCATTGCCTTCATCCACTTTCTTGATAGACAGAAACAATGCACATGTGGGCGGCGATATCTCCGGCTTCCCTTCTCACCAGTGCCAGAGTGAAAGGCAGGTGAACAATCAGGGTGCTGTGATGAGCAGGCTCGGGAAGGCCAGCGATTTCGTCAGTGGGCCCCTGCTGTGCTGTAGGCTCCCAGCTGGGGCCTGGCCATGCCCACCTTTGACACCAGCCCTGGTGCTCATGTGCTTCCCACAGGCAGCAGGTTGGCCTCTGTGTGAACCGAAGCCTGGACTGGAGGGACCCTCGGCCCGATCGAGCAGAGCTCTGCTGATGTTATTTATTTATTTAAAACTTTTCTGTATGTCCCATACTTAAAAGTCTCAGGATGGTTTACAGCTGGACATGCACGGGATTGCATGGGTAGTCTCCTAACTCCTGCAATATTGGCCAAAAAAGGGCATGGGAGGCCACAACTGATTAATTTTGGCTGTTTGCTGATCAAAAACTGGCCATTCACCCACACGGAGGGTGAGTTTGGACAAGACACAAAGAAGCTGGAATCTGCCATATGATCTCCCCAGAATGATGGCCCAAGTTTAGAAATGAGCAGAGACTCGCTGTCTCCAACTGCACCACTGCTAGTGAGCAATCCTTTGTTATCTTTCTAGGGTTGCTGCCTAGCTGGTATTTTATTGGCCTGGCCAAAGCGTTGCCCTGTTCCCCAATTGCCAGAGCACAAAATAAAGCCAGGAAGAGTGGTTATTATTTTCCTACTATATATAAAATGTAACTTTTAAAACAAAGTATGATATCTTAATTATGTCTCAACAATGATATTTAACAGCTATTTTCTGACAAGAAGGCCACCCCTTTCTCCCAAACTTTTTAAAAACACGTCCTGTCTTTCATTCAGAGATAAGACCCAAAAGGGTGTGTTTGTGTTAGGGGTGTAGAGCCCATGAAGGGGGCAACCAAGCTTTTAGCTTGCACATTTCTGAGGTATGAAAATGAAAGCTTCACAGTTTAGATTGAACAATTGCCTGGCAGAAACTATCATGGAATAGCAGAGTTGGAAGGGTCCAAGAAGGCCATCAGGTCCAACCCCCTAGGGGGCTGGTGCAGGTCATCAGTTTGCACCATCCCACTCAGATGGCTGTGCAGTTTCTTTTTGAATGTCTCTGGTGTGGGAGAGCCCACCACCTCTCTAGGCAGCTGGTTCCACTGTCATATTGATCTGACAGTGAGGAAGCTTTTCCTGATGTCCAGCCTGAATCTGGGTTGTCGCAGCTAGAAGTGATTATTCCGTGTCCTACACTCTGGCATCGGCAAGAAGAGATGTTGACCTTCCTCTTCGTGACAGCCTTTGAGGTACTTATAGAGTGATACCATGTCCCGCTCAGTCTTCCCTTCTCAAGACTGAACATGCCCAGTTCTTTTAGTCTGTCCTCATAGAACAACATTTCCAACCCCTGGAACATTCTTGTTTCCCTCCTCTGGATCCTTTCTAATTTTTCTGCAACTTTCTTAAATTTTGATGCCCAGAACTAAACACAGTATTACAGATGAGGTCTGACTAGTGAAGAATATAGGGGAACTATTACTTCTCATGATTTGGAAGTAATACTTCCATTAATGGATCCCAAAATAGCATTTGCCCTTTTTGTGGCTATATTGCATTGTTGGTTCATATTTTGCCTGTTGTCCACAAAAACTCCAAGGTCTTTTTCCTTTTCATTTCTGTTGAGCCATGTATTCCCCATCTTGGATTGCTGCACTTGGTTTCTTTTTCCTAGGTGGAGGACTTGGCACTTGTCCTTATTGAATCTCATTCTGTTGCTTTCAGCTCAGCGTTCAGGTTTATCAAGGATGCTCTGGATCGTCATTGTGTCTTCTAGGGTGTTCGCTATTCCACCCAGTTTTGTATCGTCTGCAAATTCAATTGTCATTCTTGTACTTTCTCATTTGATTATCTTTCCTTGTAAATCCTCAAATGGGTAGTATTTTGTACTTTTTTGTTTTAAAGTGTAAGCGTCTTCATTATGCCTAGGAGCTGAAGGCAACCAACAACAAGAATAATACATTTAACTATTAAAAAGTATCCCTACAATGTAAAAGAAAACTCACTAAGTGCTAATACACAAAACCAAAGATGGTTGAAATGTTTAAAATATATACAAAATGCTTTCATCAGCTTCTGGATCTCTCTTATTAAATCAGAGGAAATGAAATCGGTCTCTTTTAGAAGGGAGTTCTAGAATGTGGGGAACTGCATGAAAAGTCACTGAAAAGACTGTGGTAAAATTAAGGATCAAAAGAATTTCATTCCTATTTACAAAACATGTCTCATTTGCAGCTCCAAACATAAGAAGGAGCTTAAATTTGAGAAATGTTTCACAATTTACTGAACTTGCAAATACACACATTTGAAATGGTCACTTAATGCATATTCACAGGTTTTAGCCTGTGGGAGGTCAAGTGTGCATTATCTTCCCTGTTTGAAAATACATACATTGAATGTCCGAAGAAAAAAAGAGGCTCACTTTCAGGAGTAAGAACAAGGCAAGATGAGCACTGAAAAAGAAAATGCAAAACCCATTTGTAGAGAGAACAGATGCATAGACTGGCCTGATTTGCACAATGCTAACCAAGATTTTTTAAATTGTGGGTGGGAGAGGGAAAACAAGCCATGGATCTTCCAATCACGCTTTGGTTAGTGCTTTGCACAACCCCTGGCTTGTTTCTCCCACAACAAGCCAGAGAAAGAACAAGACAAAGAAATAACTCAGGCTTACCAGGGTGAGAAAAAAACAGAGTTCCTGGTTTGCATATAATGCTAACCCAGTTATGGATGGAAGGTCCATGATCTGTATAGCTAGTCTAAAAAACCCTCCATGTTGGCTGAAGATGGTGGGAGTTGTAGTCCATGAGTCAGAGAAGACTGCCCTGCACTGAGTATATACAGGCGTGGTGATTCAAGCAGAACAGGCAGGGTCAGAATGTCACTTCTGCGGACAAACGTCCAGACGCTGCTTAAAGCTTGTTCCAGCATTCTGTGTATTGGCTAGCAGCAATCTGGAGGAGCTACAGAAACAGAGTTTAATGTTCCACAAGTCAAGTCATTAGCATTCTAATCAAAAGCATCCTGTTCCATGGGCTTTTTGCCTATGTTCTCAGAGATGAGAGGTAGGACAGAAAAAGAACCAAACAAACAAACCCTGATGATTTATACTGGAGACAGGGAGGGACTGTTCTTCTGGCTCATAATCACCAGCAAATTATTTCATACTTGCTGTCCAAGATATCGAGGCATTTGGGGACTGTGGGTTTGTGGTTTCTTTTGTAGTGTGCTTTCAAGTTATTCTTGGCTGATGGTTAAATCCTGAGGAGTGGTGCTCTGTGAAAATTTGGAGGTAGGGACCAAGGCCCAGAAAAGGTGGCTGGGTGCCTGCATGCCACTCCCTGGTGGCATGAATCCAACATGTACGTGGACTCCTTGCCAGTTGCATTCTTCTCACCACCTACATCCCCCACCCCCATATAGGATTCTGCAGGTGTAGACGGTCTCTCCCATGCACGAAGTCCCTCTCTTCACAGGGACTCCCTCCACCCCAATGTTCACTGTTGGAGTGTATGTGTAGGAAAGACAGCTGTTTTAATGTTCTGGTTGCTGCCAATGCCTACTTCATCACATTCCTGTCTAGCCTCTGAAATCTGAAATAAATGAGTGGCCAGGACTTACCCACTTGTGCTTCCACATGGGCTATATTCCCTCAGTCTTCCTCTGCTCCCCACAGCAAGACCTCATTCCCCATCTTTGCACCAGTAATGAACAGATGAACAAAAATTCAGCAGTTGAGCTTGGGGATGAATATTTCAAAATCCTGTGAGAAAACTCCTGCTAGTAGACCACTGAAACACTGAGAGCCAGTGTGGTGTTTTGGTTAAGAGCACGGGACTGGGACTCAGGCGACCTGGGTTCTAGTCTCCGCTCAGCCATGGAGCCAACTGGGTGACTTTGGGCCAGTCACAGGCTCTCAGCCCAACCCACCTCACAGGGTTGTTGTTGTGGGGATAAGATAAGATGGAGGAGGAGAATGATGTAAGCTGCCTTGAGCCCTTTGTAGGAAAAAGGCAGGATATAAATCAGGAAAAAAACAAAACATCCAGCACAAAACCCCACACTGGAAAATTGACCACGCCATGGTGTGATTCTGGGAGGGAACCAAGCATATTAACGTGGTGTTATTTGGCCTTAGATGGTGACCAAAATTGGTGGGGATGAGTCACTGTGGCTGTCATTTAGAGGACTCATGGGTACAGGCAGAATTTTAGGGCTGGACATCCATTGATTTACACTGTTATTTCTCCTTGATTTGCCTGAACCCAGCCAGGGTTGGATAATTTGTAAAGTGGCTGTCATTCACATTACAATGTCCCAGCCTGCTTTCTGCCAAAGTTACAGAAACTGTAAGCAATGGAAATTTCACACACCTCTGTGAGCATCTCCCACTTCTTGCTCCCCACTTAAGGCATTCTTTCTGTACCAGTTACACTTGAAATACATTCCCAGCACTTCAGACTCTGTGCTATGTCCCCATTCTTCCCACTGAAGGACATCACTGGAGTCAAGGCCAATATTCCCCAGTGATTTCTGGATAGCAATCTCCTCAATACCCCTGCCCCCATCCCACATAATACTACATTTTGGGATTGTTTTCTATGTTTTCTGGGCACATTTCCCTTCTTTTACTACTGTTTTATTTCCTACTTCCACCTCCATTTAATCCCTTTTCAAGTAATCCCATATAATTTGGAATCATATGCTGCATGCAATGTCATTCTGCTACATTGTCAGTCAAAATGGGCTTATTTGAAGTAATTTATTTGAGATGAATGAAGCCCCCTTAGTGTGCATTAGTTCTGCATTTATGTTATGTGGGCAGTCCTAGTCCATTGGGGTTGTAAAATCAATGCTTTTTCAGTCTTCCTTGAAATATTTGCTTGGATTTCAACATATTCATAAAACAGCCACTGTTATGCTTAGCCCTGCTTACTACCAAAAGGTTCTGAAATGGAGAGGAGCAGAACTTTGCAAGCTGCATCAAGTACCTTGAGAGAAGGAGAAAGGCAGAATATAAATTTAAGGCATTGATAATAAAAATTATTATACTAAATATGAGGAGACAGGCAAGGCTGCATAGCAGATATCCACTGCCACATTTTACAATTCTTATTTTTCATTTTCAGAAAGTGCGTCTTGGGTCACAAAGCTGACACGTCGGATTATCAGGTCAGACAGTCCCTCCCAGGATTTGGGAACCTCACCCAGGGATACAACAAATATCTCAGGCCAAATTTTGGTGGTAGGTCATTCTTGGGAATTTTACAGTCATCCAAGAAGTTGCCAAATAGTCATGCCTTCTTGCAAAGACAAATTTCTTGGTCTTCATAGTGTTCTATAGAATGCATTTGCCTGTTTAATATTTGCCTAGCAGCAGTAAGTAGTTCCCAGATAGGGCCTCAGCGATTGTCTGTTCCCATTACGTTTCACTTACTTCAGCAAGGCTGACCCTTGTTAACCTCAGATTTAAACGTTGAGGAAGAATGTAGGACAGTTCACTGGGGAAAAATCTTCCCCAATCACATATACACGAATGGCATCTGAGCCGGCAGTGACTGACCAGAAAAGAGGTCATAGCACTGTGAAACCCCATGCCTGGCTGCTGTCAAAAGGCAAATTCAGTGCAGACAATCGTTAGGAAAGGTGTTGAAAATAAATCAGCCCATACTGTAATGGATCTATGGCATGGGTTCGTTGGATATGCTGCATTGCCGGTTACTGCTGGAGGGTGTGGTTGCACTCTTCGTTCACTGCGGTGGGAACAGACTGCTGGTCTTTGGTTTGGTCTAGGAGGGGCCAGGCTTTTGCAGCAAGATACAGGGAGATGTTGACATGAGGGACTTGTCCCACATGTTCATTCTGAATGTTTAAATCAGCTCTTGACTTAGGAGAATACTGTTGGTCCTTATAGGCTGAACAGCAAGTCTGAGCTAGGCATCAGGTTCATGTAATCATTTTCAAGTATTTTTCTCCCGTTGCACATGCCTAATATTTTCCATGATCCAGAAATGTAATTGAATAATTTCAAGTCACAAAGAATATCTTGCAGTTTGTTATGATTGTTAATTATGTGTGTATTTTATCTACTTTGTCTTACTCTTTGTAGCTCCTTTGAACCTAGGAATGATAAACATGATATGAACAACCATGGAATAATTCAAGTAGTTTGAAATGTGTCAGATAATGAAGTTGATTTGTTTTTATATCTCACCTTATCCCAAGAAATCAGGGCACCTAGCAACTGCATTCAGAATTACATAGTTTGCAGACCAAGCCTAGCAAGGTCTGCTCAGAGGTTCAGTGGTGCTTTAGGTGCATATATTATTCATGTATTTATGTATCCTTTGTGAGCCGCCCCGAGGCTTTGTTGCGATGGGGGCGGCATAGAAATGTTTTAAATAAATAAATAAATAAATAAATAAATAAATAAAATATATCACTAAAACCTGATGCCCCTTGGCAAGGTCTTACAATAGAAAGAGGCCAGATACATAGACCTGGCATGTAGGGGGAAGGGGGTGATGGTGAAGTGGGTGGAGTTGAACCTAGGGAACTAACCAGTCTTCAGTTCAGTGGTCCCACAGGTTTCTGATCTCACATGGTAATGTCGTTTCTTCATTTCATCTTTCACATCAGTGAATACGTCCTGATGATCCTGGCTATAGCTGATCATCTATAAAATCAGAGGTTACTGTCTGACTATGTCTAAGAATACTTGCCTGGGGTTTATGTATGCATGTACACACGTGCACACACGCCCATGAAACCACTGAATTGCTTTTTGGTTCTGAAACTCTTTTTTTCTTTCCCAGGACAGCCTGTGGTGATTTCAATGAGCCTTGATGTTGCAAGTATTTCCAGCATTTCTGAGAGTGATATGGTGAGCAAATCTGCCTTTAGGTGTATTAGGAAGCAGAACCATCTAGTATTGCACCTGGAATAGAGTTCCACTCTGTTCAGCCATACTCACCCTCTAGTAAGTGTACTTAGCACTCCGGTCACAGACTTTGGTGGTGTTTCTACACCATTAATAGAGCCCCCAATTGCTACCTTTTCATCCAGGGTATTAGAAATATGAGTAATAGAGGTGGTGTGTGGGATGAGCTGGTCCGGTTCCAGAAGCACAGGAACATTTTGCATGGAGAGAGTGTTTGCTTTATGCTCCATGTCTGAGGACCATGGCTTTTTTGCGGGGAGAGGGGCAGGTTGTTTGTTTGCTTGCTTGTAAGAAGCTCAGATGACTTATCAAAATTTGAAATGGCATTCCAGGGATTTGTTTATAATAGCAATTGTTGATATTAAGCCTGCAGTGTTTAGTCAATCTGTCAGGTAGACCTTAAACTTTTTAACTGATTAAAAAGCTGCCTCATAATGTATTGCATATTAGATTTTACTGTTGAAAAGTGTTTTTAATACAGAAACTATTGTTGGTAATTACCATCTTCGGAGACACATTATTCACTTTCCCTCTGCTATTGGAGGGGATTATTCTTCTAAGATAAGACTATATGGGTGCAAGCCTATTGCCTACCTGTGCAGTCTGGGAACCCATGGGATCCTTTGGAGTCCCACTTCAGATCTTGCAACCTTAGAGCAGGGACTGCCAAGGCTGGGCTTCTGGATCACTCCGTGCTTTCGCAAGCGGTGCAGACAGAACCACTGGAGCTGTACTCCACTGAGGTCAAAACTGGGCTGCAGAGAGGGAAAAAAGAGCCATGCTGGGAGGAGGTGGAAGAGGCTGGGGCCAAGGGCGTATGCTAATTCCATCAAAACTCTGGCCTCCTTCCTTCCTCAGTGCTTTCTTTAGATGGCCAAAAACAGCCATCTAGAGAAATGTAGAGTGCAAGGTGCAGCAATAGAGATCACTGCTGCCTCTGGATGCTCAAAAGCTCTCTTGCTGATTGAAAATTGCCAGTCCAGACAGATGCATTTGATCTCTAGGAAGAAATTTATGGCAGGTGTAGAGTCTGGGGGTGCTAATCTTAACCAGGCTTCGCTCTGGAAAGGCCAAGTTGATTTGTATAGGTTTGGCTGATGTGTTAGACAGCAGCCTTTTCCTGGAAAACACAGATCTGGCAAGGGTGGCAGCTTTCTAGGCTCTGGTTACATCCAGGTTAGACTTCTGCAACATGTCTGCATGGAGCTGCCTTTGGGAATACTTAGAAATTGTGCATGACCCTTGCCTGGCTGTTGTGGGAGGGCACTGGGGACTTGGTCCTGCATGCACACATTTACTGCACCAAATCCCATGTCAGGAGCTTAGTGGTTATGCTCTTCAGAAATCATATGGCTGATGACATTTAGCCACAGGCACTTTAAACAGTTTCACTTCAATCCAACATCTGTCCCTTTACTGAAACAGATGTTCTAGCAGCTGGAATTCTCCATTGCTTCCTCTGGGGATCAGGGTTGCAGGAAAGGGATTCACCTGAGTGACCTCTGCAAAACTTTCCTCTCCTCTCTTGTTCTGTTCTCCCAGAGAAAAACTACCAGTGTCTTTCCAAGGCTAACAACTGGGTGACACGCCCCCTCCTGCCTTTCTGTGAGAACACTGGCTCAGGTGAAGCCCAGATTTCCACAGCCCAAGTCCCTCCAGGCTATTTATAATCAGATGCTAAGCCAACACCCATTCTGTTATTGATACTTAGCTCCTACAGTTGCTTGGCATAATGACTTTTTGTTCAATTTGCATTGGCTACTGGTCAATTCAAATAGGGACAAATGACTCCACCCATTCTGCTTCCTCCCACATTCAGGTTCTTACAATCTCAACATCTTTCTCTTCCAAATATCACGAACTTTATAAATTTTGTGAAATTCTCATCCATCTGCACCAGTCAACTTCAATCCATGCAGCTGTTCCCAGCACGAGAAGACTTACGTTGTGCTGGTCTGCCATAGAGCTGTTAAAAATGAGGAACCAGGGCAGGGAAAAAGAGGTGGCAACCCCAATCCACTCCACAGAGTTGATTACAGAGGGATTCAGAGCCAAGCATCTAAGAGCCTGACATTAAAAGTCCTGGAATGGGATAGACAAACACTGTTAGTTTGAGCTTCTTCCACAACTGAATATTTTCAAATTTCAAGTTCCTTCTGTCCTACATATGAAGAATTTTGTGCCTGTAGGAAAGCATTTATCCAAGATTAATGAACAAAAATTTCTGAAAAATTTTGACTTGGGTTGCGAACACCGCTTTGGGTGGTGACCAAGATCGCAGCCATCTCCCCTTCACCCCCCCCCCCCGAGTGGGGAGATGGCCACGATCCCAGTTCCGTTCCTGTAGGGAAGAGGTCCGTGATCAGAGGCGCGCTGCTGCAGGAAAGACAGGAGCAGCAAAGCAGAGCCGTGGGGGAGATGGCCGAGATTCCGCCCGTCTTTCCTGCAGGAGCGCGCCTCTGATCAGGCCCGCCTTCCCTGCACGAATGGAACTGAGATCATGGCCATCTCCCCACCCCCCTGAGTGGGGAGATGGCCGTGATCGTGCTGGGGGCAGGGGGGAGATGGTCGAGATTGCGCCCATCTCTCCCTCCCCCAGCGTGCCGTTTGCGCCTGTCTCTTCCTCCCCCAGTGCGCCCACGATCATGCCCGTCTCTCTCCCCCACCCCCGCAGTGCACCGGCACATGCCGGGATGACGGGCACCTGCAGGGATGACAAACGCGATCTTGGTCGTGCTGGGGGGCTACACTTGTGCTTGGGGTGGGAGATGGCCATGATCTTTGTTGTTGTCACTTTGCTTCACATTTTTCTGATTTAAAAAATGGTTACAGAACGGATTAACCTTATTTACATTGAACCTTATGGGGACATTTAAATTGGCTCACGACCAATTTGGGTCATGACCAGAGTCCTGGAATGGATTAAGTTCGTGAGCCAAGGTACCACTGTACATGGAACTGGGCCTTCTCCTTGGTAGGACATCTTCTGGGAAAGTCATTTTGTCCTTGCCCTGAAAGCCTCTTTTCTTTACTAGTACTATTTGTTGTTCTTTATTTTCTTTATTAGTACTATTTGTATCAACATTTTATTATTCAATTATACCCCACCTTTTTCCTCTTGCAAGTAACTCAATGAGATTCCACATGGTCTCCCTCTCTCCATTTGATCCGCACACCTGCCCTGTGAGTTGTGAGTGTCAGTGACTGGCCCAAAGTCACCGAGTGAGTTTCATGGCAGAGTGGGGATGAGTCCCCAAATCTCCCAAGTCTCAGTCCAATGCTCTAACCACTCCACTACACCAGTGTACCTTGAATGTTCACTGACCCCCAAGTGTTTGCTTGTGGTGATGCTGTTTTAAGTTCATTATTGGTTTTTTAAAAATGTGGTTGTTATTCTTGTATGATGTTTCTGAGCTGCTCAATGGCGGCATTAAGATATCTCTTTAGATGAAAGGAATCACTTCAGATTTGAGACATCACAGGTATCTTCTGGAAGTAAAACACCTTTGAGATGAGGATATCACAAAGATGTGAGGTGTCCAAAATCATTGGTCTGCCATACTGCTCAGCATCGGTTTAAATGCAAAGTCCTGCAGAAGGCTGGTGTCCACCGGGGCAGGGAACTCATAGGAAGCCTTTGATGGGCTGACACGGTCCTTCGTGAAGCTTACTTTCCAGGTATTTTGAGGCTATTAATCAACAAATACCCTCCTCATACAGGAGTGCTCACATCGCCATACCACTTACATTTTCCAGTCTCATGCAGAACATTATAGAGATGTACTTTCTGGCTAGATAAATAATTGAACTGCAAATGACCCAGGGGTTTTCACCTTCATTGTTGGGATTAATAATTCACTGCTTTGAGAAGCATAACGGTGCATCATCTCAATCATTTAGGTAAAGAGATTTCCTCCCTAACAGCATAAGAATGAAATCTGAAAGGTAGTGCTGATATACATGAAGTTCCTGCTCGACTTTTTTCCTTTAACAGCTTTATTCCAAAGCCTGTTACCATCTCTGTGTTCAGTGCAAAAGCAACACTTTCACTCAGCAATGGAGCAGAAGGTGGTGTTTGAATTCACATAGAATTTTGAGTCATATTTTGCCAGATCCGAAGGGACCTGATGTTCAAATGTGGCAGGGGGCAAAAGTTCATGCTTACTTTGTTCATACTTGCAGATGTGAATTTAAACTGCTTAGCTAAGAAATTTTAAGGAACGGTATATAGACGGCATTCAGTAGCCCAGAAAAGTGTACTTGGGTGGGTGCTTCTAGATGGAGGGATCCCCATTAGAGGACACGGTGCCATGATTTTCCTTAAGAGTTTCTGCAGTAGGAAAAAAGACAGAAGAAGCAGTGAGGAAACACAGGAGGATTGTGAGAGAAAGAGGATGGCATTTGGTTCACCAGCACCAGCCCTCCACCAAAATTCCAGGATGGAGTCTACTCTTAGATGTTATCAGGCATGGTAAAACTTCTAGAAGCTGGAGCTACCTCTGAAGACTGTTCTGAAACTGCCAAAGCTGCAACATCCCAGACTGCTAGCTGGTCTTACAAGCAGGAAACATAGGTTGCCAGTCCCCCAAAATACTACATTGAATACCAATTTCTTTCCAGAGCCAAATCAAACTGCTAGCTTTGGCCTTTAAAACCTTCTAAGGAGGGTACACAGAGAATCATCTATTCCCACATAAACATTTCCAGCCATTATTTATGCCTTATGCATATTTACATCCTAGCTTTCCCAGGACAAGCAGCAAGGAGATCCATCAACACACAAAGTGAAATATATTTTAAAAACAATGCAGCAAAGAGAGAAACAACACTAAAAATAAAGAGAACATGAAAACTATTGTCAAGTGGTCAGTGGAAAGGCTGTAAGCCAGCCAAAAAGATTTTTTCACCCAGCCTGACTGAGCAACATCCAAGAGGGAGGGAAGCAAACCTCCTGTGAGAGAAGCAATCCTGAAGTCTGTCCCTCCGTCAGGATCCTGCCAAACACACCTTTGACATTGCGGAGACCCCTCTGCAAATCTTAATGTCCGGGAAGGCTTGCACTGGAGTCATGGGCCTTCAGATACTCTGGTCCTAAGCAGTGTGTGTGTGTTCGTATTTCTCTCTCCTTTTTTCTTCTTGCAAGGAACCCAAGGTGATATAGAGGGCTTTCCTGCACTCCCCATAATCCTCACAAGGGCCCTGTGAGTTAGGTTAGTCCCCATTTGGTGCAACAATATGTAACTTTCTGGGTCCTGGCACCTTGCCTTCGGAAATCCTCCCTGCGCACACTCTATTTATTTATTTATTTTTATATCCTGCCTTTTTTCCTCAAAGGACTCAAGGCAGCTTACATCATTCTCCTCCATCTTATCCCCACAACAACAACCCTGTGAGGTAGGTTGGGCTGAGAGTCTGTGACTGGCCCAAAGTCACCCAGTTGGCTCCATGGCTGAGCAGGGACCAGAACGCAAATTGCCTGAGTCCCAGTCCCATGCTCTTCACCACTACACCACACTGGCTCTTTTTCCTTTGCTTTAAGTGTAGCTGCAGCCATAAGCCAAATTATAATTCATTGACAGTTTTGTTTCTTTTACATTATAGTTTGATTCTATTATGATAATTTTATATTTCTGCATTTGTTAGCTGTCTTGGGAATCGCCACAATTAGGATGTAGATGTAAATATATCTAATTGCATGTAATTAACCAATTAATTAACCTGTAAAATATAAAAATAAAAGTTTAGTAATGGAGGAGTCTGAGTACAAAGAATACAGTGATCAGCAGTACCTGCAAAATAAGGAGTGTCTTCCATCAGCATCAACAGAACCTCCCTTGGTGGAAGGAGGTCGAAGATCCTGCTGGGACCAGAACTCCCAGCTTGCCTCTGCTAGATCCAGTCCAACAGAGCTGGAGGGCACCAGGTTGAGAGACACTGGTATAGCTATTCCATCTTCCCACCTTTATGGATTTTTGTGGTAAGAAAAATCAAGAATGAAGCATGTGAAAATATGAGAGGGTTACAAGTACAAGATGTTGTTTGGAAAATATCCCCCCACACAGAAACTACAAATTCCAAGGTGGGGCAATTGCATGATAAAAGCCTTACATGGATGAAGAGGGATTTTCATTTTACAGAAAACAAAGCCCTGAATATGTTCCATGGCTTGCTCTCTTTCCTAGGACTACACAGCAACAATATATTTGCGGCAACACTGGACAGATCCCCGTTTGGTTTTTCTGGGGAACAAAAGTTTTACTCTGGATGCCCGGCTGGTGAAGTACCTGTGGGTGCCTGACACATACATTGTGGAGTCAAAAAGGTCTTTCTTACATGAGGTCACAGTAGAGAATCGGCTTATACGGTTGTTCTCCAATGGCACAGTTTTGTACGCCTTGAGGTAAGTCTGGCAGGCAGTCGTGCAGTGCAATCCTGAGCATGTCTATTCCAAAGTACGTCCCGTCCCGTTGGGTTCAGGTAAACATATACAGAATTGCAGCCTTATGATAAGGTTAATCCCCAGTCACAGAAAAGCTCTTATTGGTCCTCTTCAGGGTCCCCATGACACCCACTGGATGCAGAATACCCAAAGGTTGACTCAAGCTGAGGAAATTGCTTTCTCTGTTGCACATTTCATTATATTCACTAGTTTTTCTGCACACCTGCAGATTTTTTTTTACACAACTGGCAGTTATCATATATTCTTTTTAACACTTTAGTATCCCAACATAGAACTTCTCTTCAGAGCTTCCCTTTGGCTAGGGGTGCCCAACATGGTGCCTGCAGCTGACATCGCACCCTGAGGGACCTTCAGCCATACCACTCCCTTAAAAAAAATTAAGAAAGAAACTCAAAAACATGAGTGCAGCAGGTTGCCTTCCTGTTTCTGAACCAGCTCAGCTGACAGAAAAAGAAGGAAAGAGTTGCTTCTTGGCCTCATGCAATCTTCTACGGTCCCTGCAGACCTCTCCCTCTTTGCATTCTGGCTTTCTACTCCTAGCCCTTGCCTTGCTATTTCTCTCTTTCCAATTCCCACCCTCCCGACTTCTCTCCCTTCCCTGTCCTTAACTTGCTGCTTTTCCTCCTTCCTTAGTCCCTAGCCTGCTCTTTCCCTCCCACTCACCACTTTATCTTGCATTTCTTTTCACGCCCAGCCTCTGGCCTCATTATTTCTTGTCACCACCTCTTTACCTCACTGTTTCCCTCCTCTCCTAGCCTTGTTCTTTTTCTCCTCTCTACCCTTTTGTCCTGATGTTTTCCAATCCCTCCCAGCCTCTGACCTCACTATTTCTCCTTCTGTGTCCCTCTTCGAATTAGCAAGGGTACCATGGCAGCCATTATCTAGCTGGTTGGATCCTCCATGGGTGACATGCTGTGGTAGTGGCCACAACAGTTTCTCGAATTCCAAAGGACCCCCCCCCATTATTTATTTATTTAAAACATTTCTATGCCGTCCTTCATGACAGCATCTCAGAACAACATACAACATTAAAACCAACAACAACGATAAAAACAAAAGATATACAATAACAATAAATAGGAATAATAGTAAAAATACCATCAGATTAAAGTTAAACAAATTCATCCAAAATGTGGGAATCTCTGTCTTAGACTGCAGTCTGGGAACTGTCTAAGTGCACGGCAGCAATAGGAGGAAATGTTTTGGAATAGGGGTTGACAGGGACAGCATATGTACCTTCTGCACTACACCAAAACTGTCATAGGACACCAAGAATGCAGACACTGTTCAATGCCATCACATTTGTGTGCCTCATACTTTCCCTTTAATTCATACTGTCTTCCATCTAAAAAGAAGAGCTTCTTTACTAACATTATTTGATATTGTTCTGACCATTACCGAGTTCTTCCCATGTGACTAGGCCAGCTTTCCCCAAGCTGAATCCTTCAAATTTCTTGGTCTATCACTCCTCTGGTCCTTGGGCAGTTTTTCTTTTTGGGGTGATGTGTTAATAGCCACCAAGTGAAGCAAGACAGGCAGAGTCACAGGGGTGCTCTGAGGGGCATTGCCAAGCAATTACTCTTTCATTTTACACACAGAGAAGGGCTAAATCATTCTTAGTTCATCAATCGGAATATTACAACACAGGGAAAAAGTTACAGGATGGATCTGGCTCCTAGCCCTTTAAATTAAGCTGTAGAAATCCATGAGAACATTTGGAGAATAATACTTGTATCTCCAACCAAGCATAAAATGTTCTGCCAAAACTGATGCAACATGCAGTTATCAGTGTGCCGTCCCATATCCAGCCCTATCGTTTTTACGCATTAACTTATATTTGCATCTTGGTTTTTTGGCTTATTTGTTATTTATCTAATGAATGTCTTAGCTCTCTATGGAGACTGCAGGCTTTGCAAGGTGACTGTGTCACAGTGGCTTCCATCATATGTTACTGTATTCTGTGGAGGAATCCAGATGCACACTAGCAAAACTGTTAACTGCAGAGAAACCCAGACTCCAGCTTCAAAACTTTTAAAAATTAGTTATGCCTCAAAGCAGCAACATTGCTACCTTCAGACTACTGTGAAAAATATAGATACTCTGCAATAAAATGCCTTTACAGAGTGCTTCCTCCCTTTACAGAATCACGACTACTGTTGCATGTAACATGGACTTATCAAAATATCCTCTGGATACACAGACGTGTAAACTGCAAATGGAAAGCTGTAGGTATCACATTCTACAGGCAGGTGAAAATATTTTGTCTGACTGGTTCTGTGTTTGTTTATTCATATTTAAGTGACTAGTTCAAACATTTCTGTCTTTGACTTCTCAGAAATGTCCACTTGCTCTTTCAAATGCAGAACCATTTCAAAAGGGAAACATTTGCACATCAACTTTTGTTTCCTGAATCAAAACAGAAGGCCTGTGCTGGATCAGTCCAACAGCACATCTTGTCTGGCCTTTTGCTCAAGCAGTGGCTAACTAGATGCCCCAACAGGATGTCCATGGGCAGGATATGACCTCATGAGCACCATCTTGCTTGTACTCTCCTGCAGGCCTCCTTCTGATGCTGATGTTCCATTTCTGCTATTCTATAATGCAGGGTTAGGCAATCCGGGCCACCCAGCTGTTTTGAAGTACAACTCCTATAATTCTCAATTATGCTGGTTGGGGTTTAGGGGATAAGTAATCCAGAACATCTGGAGGGCACCAGGTTCCTACTGCTGCCGTATTTCATATATACGTTTCCTCTCCAAATGGATATGTAAATGATATTTTGATGCAATTAAGCTGTTGCAATACCAGGGGAAGTATAAAATCCAGGACACTGTTAACTGTCATTCCACACATTCATCTGAAAGGTGCTGATGTGAATGTTTTGTATAGAAATTGACAGAAACTGAAGCATCCATAGATGAAGGTGAGCATCTTTTCACTGCAAACAATTAAGGGTGCAATCCTATGCCAGTTCAGACAGAAAAAGCCGGTGTGGCGTAGTGGTTAAGAGCATGGGACTGGGACTCAGGCGATCTGGGTTCTAGTCCCCTCTTGGCCATGGAGCCAACTGGGTGACTTTGGGCCAGTCACAGACTCTCAGCCCAACCTACCTCACAGGGTTGTTGTTGTGGGGATAAGATGGAGGAGGAGAATGATGTAAGCTGCCTTGAGCCTTTTGTAAGAAAAGGGCAGGATATAAATCGGGGGGGGGGGGGAGGTCCAACTCCAAACCTCTTCAGTCACTGCACCCAAACTGGGGGATGCAGAAGAATAACTTACCTTTCTGGACGACTGAACAGAGGCAAAGCATGAGTGGTAGATCATACCCAAAGCACTGAACAACTTGCTTTCTGGGCTAGTCCTTTTGGCACATGCCTGTTTTGATCAATTGATTTCTTCTGGCATGAGCTGTTCTCTCTTGCCATACCAGAATGCCCTCACACATCATTTGGAATTTGTGGCTTTAAAGAGAACTGGTCTTTGCTGCTCATGGAGGCACAAGGAACTACAGATTCTACATAAACACTTGGGCTAAAGACTGAGTATCTTGAGGACTTGTCTCCTTGGTCTTCATTGTTACCAATTCAAGAAACGTCTGAAATCTCATTATTTTAAAACCAGGCATTACTTGCCAGCTACTAGAATGGAGTTCCTATGGAAGTGCCTATTATTTTCCCATTAAAATCATATTAGTTTACCATGATTAACTTTATTACAATGCACAGACACTGAAATAATAATGATTAGCCTCTTGTTTTAAAACATAGCTGGGTTTAGCCTTAAAGAGAGAGAGAAAGAAAGAAACAGAGAGTGAGTAATTGGGCCCTGTGTCAAGCTCTTGTGCCATATTATTCTTATGAAATTATGTGCACATTGCCAACTAGAGATGTCATTAGGATAAATTAATGCTATTTAAATATATGCTAGATGAATTTACAACAATCAGTCATTTATTATAAAGTTTCCCTAAGTAACTGCAGTTATCATTATTATGAACTGGGCAGAAACTTTGAAAAGTCATATTTGGATGATTTGTACCTGGGGAAATTAGCACATCCCTATCAGATGCAAAATTGGGTCATTTGTGTCTACTAGAAAACACAATCGCTGGCTGTTTTTCATAAAGACGAAATGATAAATATCAGTGTTGCCATTTTTATTGAAATGCAGATCTTTAATTAAATAGCTTGGCAAACTGGAATGTTATTGGCCTGCTTGTTAAAGCAATCTAATTTTAGGAGAGCTATATAACACTTGTTATTTGCAATAGTGGTTGTTTGCATGCATGCATGAAGTGGGGGAGAAACTTCATTGAATTCCTGAGTCTGTTGGATCAAGTTAAATCCTGAATTTATATCCACATCTCTCTTCAAATAGCTATTTTTTCTTACAGGGGGGTCTCAGCCAAAGCTAGCTAGCTATTTATTTATTTATTTATTTATTTATTTATTTATTGCTGTCAACAGGGCAAAACCAACAATACTAAACAATAATCAGTAATATCCTTTTAATACCAACCTAATGCCCTCCAGATGTGTTGGACTGCAGCTCCCATCACCCTCAGCCAGAACAGCCATTGGCCATGATAAATGCAGTAGTCCGGAACAACGGGAGGGCACCAGGTTGAAGCTGGCTGACTTAGAGACACATTTCCATTGAAAGGGTAGGTATTTGTCCAGTGCAGCCATGAAAAAGGACACCTCTGGGCCAGGAATATGGGCATATTCCCCTTCTTCCCTTCTCCTTCTGGCCAAACTTGCATGGACAGCAGCTCAGCAAAGCAACTACACAGTGGAGCATTTCTTTACTGGCTGAAGTTGGGAGTGGCTTTCTCTTGAGTGCTCAGGTACAGCAAGAGTTGATATGTAGAAAGGGGCAAGGCCTGATACTACAGAGAGAGAAGGCAAGGAAAGGAATCTGGCAAGGTATCCAGCAGGTGAGGAGGTGCAGGTTGGAAAAGTGCAGCCCACAATAAGCTTAAGGTTTGGATGATCCTGATAAGTCATAGGGCCAGACAGCCAGATGGGAGAAAGGTTATTAAACAGGGATAGGGATAAGCTTCTTTTTCCATGGGGTTTTCCACTCTGTTATTTCAGAAACCAACAAAAACCTCCACAGAACATTTATTTATTTATTTATTTATTTATTTATTTATTTATTTATTATTTATTTATTTAGAAAGCTTCTATGCTGCCCCATTTGCCGAAGCCTCGGGGCGGCTTACAACAATAAATAAATAATAACAATATAAAACAATATAATATAATTGGAGATGTCCTGGCCATAAAAATAAAATAAATAAATAATATTAACAATTAAAATGTTGTTTAAATAAAAAGGTCTTCGTCTGGCACCGAAAAACAAATAAGGATGGCGCCAGGCAGACCTCTCTGGGGAGTGCATTCCATAGATTGGGTGCCACCACAGAGAAAGCCCTCCTCCGAGTACATACCCTCCAAATATCCTTCACGGAGGGTTCCCAGGGAAGGGCCTCTCCTGCTGATCTCTTGGCTTTTAGGAACTGCAGGAGTAAATCTGAACCACAACTGAAGGAGTATTATTATTAGTCCAGCATTAAGGCTAGGCTGAGGTTTTGTGAAGCAAAAACCTTACAAACTCCCTTCAAAACACAGACAGTCTTCTTTCACTGTGCATGGTCATTGTGAACCATTGTGTGCTCGAGAGCAGCCTTTCCCTCTGTAAGGGTGCGGGCCCGATTGTGTGGGTCCGCCCCCGGAGCCGGATGGATCCAGATGGATTCCTGAAGGCCCTGGGGGAGTTTCCGGCTGACAAGACTGGTGCTCCTGTCAAGGCTCTGGTCAAACTATGGAATGGGGAAATGACCAGGGCCATTGACATGATCGCTCCTAAGCGTCCTCTCCCACCAGGCAAAGCCCACTCTTCCCATTGGTATACACCTGGATTGCAGGCGATGAAGCGGGCTGGGAGACGTCTAGAGCGTAGGTGGAGGAAATCACGGGATGAATCTGACCAAACACACAAGAGCCCATTATTGGGCCTATGCTGTGGTGGTGAGGGCGGCGAAAAAGAAATTCTTCTCCGTTTCCATTGCCTCCTCACAATGCCGTCCAACAGAGCTGTTTCGGGTGGTACAAGGGCTGGTTCATCCCGGCCCTAAGAAAGATCCGGTTCCACCCTCAAAGGCCTGCTGTGATGACTTTGCCAAGCATTTTAGGGAGAAAATCGCTCAGATTCGTCACGAGCTGGACTCCACTAGTGATTCAGAGGCTTCTGGGGAGATACCAATGTCGCCGTCTGGTCCAAAATTGATGGATGAATTTCAGTTACTGCGGCCTGATGATGTGGACAAGGTGCTTGGACGAGTACGTCCCACCACTTGCCTATTGGACCCTTGCCCATCTTGGCTAATTAACAACGCCAAGCACGGGATAGGGATCTGGATCTTGGAAGTGGTTAACGCCTCTCTGAGGGAGGGCCAGGTACCTGCCCCGTTAAAGGAGGTGGTAGGCTGACCGATCCTGAAGAAAGCTTCACTGGATTCAGAGATGGCCACTAATTATAGACCAGTGGGCAACATCCTGTTTCTGGGCAAGGTGTTGGAGCGGGTGGTGGTGGGACAACTCCAAGCACTCTTGGAGGAAACTGATTATCTGGACCCATTTCAGTCCGGCTTCAGACCCGGGTACGGTACTGAATCTGCCTTGGTTGCCCTGTAAGATGACCTGTGCAGGGAGAAAGACAGTGAGAGTGCATCCCTGTTGGTTCTCCTGGACCTCTCAGCAGCTTTCGATACCATCAACCATGGTATCCTTCTGGATAGGCTAGCAGGATTGGGGGTCAGAGGCACTGCTTTGCAGTGGTTCCACTCCTATCTCAATGGCCGATTCCAGAAGGTGATGCTGGGGGACTATGGCTCTGCGCCATGGCAGTTATGCCATGGAGTACCGCAGGGGTCCATTTTGTCCCCGTTGCTGTTCAACATCTACATGAAACCGCTGGGAGAGGTCATTAGGAGGTGTGGGCTGCAGAACCATCAGTACGCTGATGATACCCAGCTCTACCTCTTGTTCTCTACCAATCCAGGTGAGACAGTGGCTGTACTGAACTGGTGCCTGGCTGAGGTAATGGGCTGGATGAGGGCCAATAAACTGAAGCTCAATCCAGACAAGATGGAGGTCCTGTTGGTTGGCGGATCGGGCTTCAGGGAAGGGGACCTGAACCTAGTCCTGAATGGGGTTGCACTCCCTCTTAGGGACAAGAGGGAGCAGCTTGGGAGTACTCCTTGACCCGGAGCTTTCACTGGAAGCTCAGGTGACAGTGGTGGCGAGGAGCGCTTTCTTTCAGCTTCAGCTGATCCATCAGCTGTGTCCATACCTGGAGGACGACTGCCTGGTGACGGTGACACACGTGTTGGTGACTTCCCAACTTGACTTCTTTAATGCGCTCTACGTGGAGCTGCCCTTGAAGACGGGCTGGATACTTCAATTGGTTCAAAATAGAGCTGCCAGGATGCTGACGGGGACTAGGCGTTATGTTCACATGACTCCAGTTCTCCGTCAGCTTCACTGGCTCCCCATTGAAGTCCAGGCCCAATTCAAGGTGTTGGTTATGACCTATAAATCCCTTAACAGCTTGGGTCCTGGTTACCTGAAGGAGCGCTTTATGTCCATATATGCCTGCCCGCCCGCTCCTTGAGATCAGTGGGAGAGGCCCTTCTCCGGGAGCCCTCCATGAGAGACATCATGAGGCAAAGTACCCGGAGGAGGGCTTTCTCTGTGGTGGCGCCCCATTCTGTGGAATGCGCTCCCCAGAGAGGTCTGCCTGGTGCCGTCATTATTTGTTTATCGGCACCAGGCGAAGACCTTTTTATTCAACTGCTATTTTAATTGTTAATATTATTTATTTATTTTACTTTTCGGGCCAGGTCGACTCGTATTATATTGTTTTATTCTGTTCTTATTTATTTATTATTGTGAGCCGCCCCGAGGCTTCGGTGAATGGGGCGGCATAGAAGCCTTCTAAATAAATAAATAAATAACCCCCCTTTTACGAGACACTCCACATCCAAGTGTCAGTTGTTTCCCCACCAAATAGTAACTGGATAGGGAGTGCATTTGGGGTTATTATCCATGCTAGTACAACTTGAGAACCAGTGTGGTGTGCTAGTTAGTGTTGGATTAGGAAGCTGAGAAATCTGGGTTCTCGTCACCATTTGGCACACGGGGTGACTTTGGGCCAGTCACTCACTCTCAGCCCAACCCGCCTCAGCGGGTTTGTGTTGTAAGGATGACATGGAGCTATGTAAGCTGTCTTGCGTTCCTCACAAGAGAAAAATGGGTTGGATAGGAAGCTAAAGAATAACAATAGTAATAACTTCAGTATCTGTGTTGGAAATCAACCCAGCCATGATACCGTGGCCTCTTTGAATGGACATCAAAGTCAGGCAGGGACAAAAAAGTTTCAACCACTTGGGTGCTAAGTTGCCTCATCCTACTTTTTTCTATTATCTGTAGGGGGATATGATGAGAACGATGTGCTGTACACATGGCTGAGGGGAAATGATTCTGTCCATGGTCTTGACAACTTGCAACTCTCCCAGTATAGAGTGGAGCATTTTTACACCCATATAACAACGTCACATCAGGAAACAGGTAGCTGGCTGCGGGAGGGGGGATACTGGGAATTATAGTCCAACACATCTGGAGGGTACTGGACTGGGGAAGGCTAGACTAATCACTCTAGGAAATGCATGGTTATCATCGTCATCATCTTTATAATTGTTATTATGCCAACCTCATGGCTGGGCCCAGGTTTTGGGAGCTCTTGCCAAGCGACTTACAAGTCCTCCTTTCTTCTTCCTCTTGGACTCTGCTGCTTCTGCCATGGCAGCTTCTGCTTGCCTTCCTCAGGGGAAAAAATCATACAGCTGGCCTCCCATGGCCTTGAGATTTCCAGTGAGTGAGGCATCTAGGTGTTCTTCCTGGGAGGAAATGGGAGTTTGCTCTAATGGTCTCCATGATTATCTCTCCTATTCCCCAAAGGAAGAGATGCTTTGGTGGCCAAGGAGCAAGCAAAGCATGACTCCCCTTCACTCTCCTTTTCCCTACCTCCTCATAAAAAAGTTAGTGCTGTCAGAACAAAGGAGTTGTACACAGAGAGAGAGAGAGAGAGAGAGAAAGAAGATCACCCTTGAGGTTGTACTTCACCATACATATGAGAGGGACTTCTGGCATGTTCATTCAACAGGGGGGAGCTCCAGTGACCCAGTGAGAAGTAGCACTTTGTACTGTGCTTCTGAAACACAAGAGAAGCTTCTCCTCCTCCTCCTCACTGGGTAACTACAGGTTGTGATGCTCATCCCTGCATCTCTGGTCAGCAGTAGACCTCCAACCAGTATGCGAGCCTTGGTCGTTGCCCAGACATGCTGACTGTTGATGCTGGGCCTGCCTTCTGGCCAGTTAGGAGATTATAAACTGGTTCTGAAAAGCACAGCAATTAAAATATCTTTGTCTTAGGATGATCTGATCTCTGTAAAGGTTTTCTTTTCATGGTTTGTGTTCTCTCATTCTCCATCTAGGCAATTACTCAAGACTGATACTGCAGTTTGAGCTCAAAAGGAACATGCTTTATTTCATTCTGGAGACTTACATGCCATCCTCCCTGCTTGTCATTCTGTCTTGGGTTTCTTTCTGGATCACGCTGGATTCAGTTCCTGCAAGAACGTGTATTGGTGAGACATTTCCTGAACTAGAGCATTTATTAGGCATGCAAAGGATGTGTGTGTGTGTGTGTGTGTGTGTGTGTGTGTGTGTGAGAGAGAGAGAGAGAGAGAGAGAGAGAGAGAGAGAGAGAATGAGAGAGACAGAGTGGGGAAAGAGTGGGGTGACATTTAGTGCTGCCAACATATCTAGAGCTGTAATTAATAATCACAAATTTCAAATTTAATAACTCAAATGCTGATTGAAAAATGCTGAGTGTATATTTTGAATTTGCATCTCGGATGTGCGATTTTAAACTCACAGGCTTCAGGGATGGAATCTTGAAGTTGTCAAGTGTCAAATACTAATTACCATGGCAGAATACCTATCAAATACTGCCAGATACAAATACTGTTAACTGATAACTATGAAACGTGGTTACATTTTAAATACGATTGCATGCCAACTATAAAACACAATTAAACCACCCTGCTGCAGTCCTTTGCATTGCACAGAGGAATCCCTGACAAACAGCTCAGTATGAGCAGTGCTTCCTGAAGGCAGGATGTTTGAAACTGTTGTGATATTCCATTGCAAATTAGCCTTCAAATGCTGTCAAATACTAATTCTAATTGCATTTCAACTATTAAATGCATCAAAAACGAGAGAGCAACTGGACAAAACATGACATCAAAATCAGTGGGCTATTTGCTAAGTTCCTCATTTTTCCAGTCTTAAATTTGGTTCATTCTGAATCTGGAGAATTCTTTCAGTCTTATGTTTGGATCACTCGGAACTGTTGAGAATTGTTTTTCAAAGTTTACTTGAAAACAGGTTAACATTTTTGTGTGCATTTCTTCTACCACATATATTTTATATCGATTTTGCCTAAAATACATTTCTTCAAGTGATTTGCGTAATATAATGAATTCTTGAATGTTATTTTCACTAACATATACATTTCTCTACACATTTTGGAGAACTCCATTGCAAAATTTGTAATAGGGTGAATTTTGGAGGATAATTGTGTTAATTCAAATTTCAAGTGTAAGTCTGCATTAAAATGAGAACCGAATGGATTTCTCTCCTATCCATAATTAAAATGAACTGAAGAGAATTTTGAGGAGCATTCTTGGAGCAAATTCATTTCATCTCTAAAAATATCATAGCAGTTTTATGGAAAGCTTGCTCCACCAGGCTTCTAGTTCAGCTTAGTGGATATTGCATGCTGCAAGAAAAATATATATATTTTTATAGGACTATAGTTGTTTTGCAGAACATAAAGAGCTGTGGTGGATCAGATGAAAGATCCACCCAGCAGAGCACTTTATTGAAATAGTGGTCTACCAGCTGCCTGGGGAAAAGTCACTTGATGTGAGCCACCCCGAGGCTTCGGCGAATGGGGCGGCATAAAAATGTTTTAATAAATAAATAATAAATAAATAGCAGGATATGAGTTAACAGCACCCTCCTGCCCATGTTCCCCAGACTGAAGGCCACACCTTCAGTTCATCATTCAACACCTGACTGAGACATCGGATCACCTGGTGGTTATGGCACTGCAACCTAGCCTCTGCTCCTTTTCTTGAGCAGCTTAATGGGGACAACCCATTTGTTTTTCACAGGTGAATGGACTGATAGACCAAATGTGGGTGGAATTTGGAGTAAAATGAAGGTGAAGCACGGACACTATGGTCCTGAGGTCCATTGCTCAAATCTTAATTTAGCTATAAACTTACAGGTTGATCTTACCTTAGGCTTTTCCTCAGACTCACCCCCCCCACCCCATGTGGAGGTAACAATACTGACTTTACAGGATGGCTCTAGGAATTACTAAGATAATTTCCAACAGCCTTCTCCAACAGCCTTCTCCTAAACACATTTACCCAGAAGTGAGTTCCACCATGCTTGAGTGGGGCTTACTCCCAGGTAAATATGGTTAGGACTGGACTTTTAAAAATGGAGGAGTTTTAAATATTTTGATAGTATGTATTTTGCCACAGAGTTCCTATAAGCTGCTATATGCTAGACAGGATTGAAGTTCCAAATGTCAACAGTACCTAAGAAAACCAAAATCGAAATGCAAAAAACAAACAAACAAATGCACAGATGTTCGTGGTGAACCATGGAAAAAAATGAAGAAACATCCCCTCTTCCATCTTCCAAGAAAAATCAACAAGTATTTCTCTGTACTTTTCAGGAGTAACAACTGTGTTATCAATGACGACTCTGATGATGGGCTCACGGAGCTCCGTAACCAAGACCAACAGTTTCATAAAAGCTATTGATATTTACCTGGGCATCTGCTTCAGCTTTGTCTTTGGTGCTTTGGTGGAATATGTAGTTGCACACTACATTGCCTCTCAAAAATGTGTGGCTAATGAGACTCCAAAGGTAAACAAAATATGCAATTGTCATCAGAGATTACTGCAAAGAGGCCTTTTCACTGACAACCTACAAAATTGGTTTGCTCCGTACAGGAGCTAAGGGAGCTATGAGGGTGGGGAAAACCTGGAATGAGCCAAAGAGAGTAGTGTTGTTTTTCTCCAGAGATAACCATCCTCAAATGGTACTCTCCAGGTTCTTTGGACTATAATTCTCAAAATACCCGACCTTTGGCTGTAATGGCTGGGGCTGAGAAGAGTTGAAGTCCAGAACACTAGGAGGATACCAAGTTGGGCAAGGTTGCCACAGAGGCAAGCAGGCTACAAAAAAGCAAGCCAGGCCAGGAAGAGGAGCATGAACCCTCCCTTAGAGCAGCTTGTGTAGCACTACTTTTTGGCCTGGAGGCAGGATGGATGTTCTCATCTGGGCCTTCACCTTCCTAGGGAAGAAGCTGGTAAATCATCACAAACCAAAATAAGGCCATCAAGCAGGTAGGCACTTCACTAGTTTGAATAATTAAAAATTCTTAGCATGCTTACTCTTGTACTCATTCAGTTAGGGTTACAAGTTTGAGGATGCTAAGGGCAAAGTATCCTTTGAAGAGGCTCTCTTGGTGGGCTCTAGTGGGCTTACCTGCCTTACAAGAGTGTTCTGGAGGTCATTGTGCTGATGGGTCTGATCTCCCACTCATGCCACGCCACAGCTCATCATGGGTTATTTTAGCTGCTATGGATCACAGTGCCCACAGGCACTAGTCTGAATAGTCAGTCCCAGATTGAGGGAGGTCATGTCATAGAAACCTAGCTGGTGATGTTATGTGACCACTAAACAATGGTCATCTAGCCCATGGCCTGTTCAAGGGTTAAGTGAAGGTTGTTTAACCCTTGCACAATCCCCACCGATTTAATTGTTGACCCCTCTTCACTGGCTGAGTTCACTTCACATAATAATCCACAGTCAGGGCTGGCTATGCAGGATGGCTACAAAAAAACTCTTGGCAGAAAAAATAATATCCTGCCTAAACAGATATAAGTAATGACGTATATAGCGCCTTCCATCTCCCTAAGGCCAGTCCTAAAAATGGCATTTAGCCATGCCCTGTTGGCTATTTCCAGAAATCCAGCAGAGTCATAACAACTCATGGTTTGATCCACTGTTAGTGTAGTTAAAGGGTGGTGGTACAGTTTCTGTGAGTAGTGGAAGTGGTGAGGAAAGCAAGCATATAATTGTAGAGAGAGAAATTCAGGTTTGCTGGGGCTAGGTGACTTGTAGAACTGTGTCAGCCATCCAAGAATATGCTCATAGAGTGCCTAGACAGAATATTGTTTTTTGATCCCTCAAGCTCTGATATCAGTAAACTAGAATTTGGGCTTGGCTAAGACTTCCCAGGATTTTTAAAATTCCAGATTAATGGTATTTTGGCAGCTGAGTCATATGAAACTGTTGTCTTTTGCCATTGATTTCTCTGGTATTTTGGTGGCTTTGTGTACTAAATAGTAATATGTTCACATCATCTGTCAGCAATGTTCTCCCATTCTAGGCTTCCACAAATGATGTTGCCAGAGAAACTGAAGATATCACCATCACTAACATCTTGACTACTTCCATCACCAGCAACAGTCAAAAGATAAACTTTGCCACTTTTGATAAGGTCACCTATGGTGGCTTAGCCATGACCCCAAAGGACAAAATTCGGTTTATCTTGAGAAACAAAATAAACAAAATTATCAGTTATTTCACAATTCAAAATCCAAGCAATATTGACCACTATTCAAAATTGCTATTTCCTTTCTTTTTTGCATTAGTCAATGTATTGTACTGGGCTTATTACTTAGTTTTTTAGGAAAGTGGAGCTTCCTCATAGCATGGGAATAGTCTGTGCCAGCACAGTCTGTGTCTGCACTCAGGAGTTCACGTTCAGCTGGAGAGGAGATTTGGGCTAGTAACCCTCTTGACTGGGAAATGAGCCCCAGCTCACAAGGCCATTTAGCATGTGCTGAATTCGAGGAAAGTCTTGCCCTGTTAGTTCTCAATCACTGCAAACTGGGGTAGTTGCATAAAATGTGGCCAAGCCCAGCACTGACAGTGAGGTACAGAAAGCCAGACTCTGTGTGTGGGCAGCACCAGTTGGTTGGGAGGCTAAAGCAGGTGTAAACCATCCAGGGAAAGTCTCTTCTTATTGCTGTCACATGCTAAAATGAGTAGACTTTCTGCCCTACTGGGGTTCAGAGCTGAATAACGTTTACACGCTCAACAAAGCTAAGCCCTGAAGGGCTATTTAAAGTCATGGACATTTTACATTTGTGCAAATATGATCCTCAATTAGCTGTTTTCAGTAGAGATGGGGAGAATTTGGTTCAATTTGCAATGAATGGCAACTTAATTTTGCTGTTTCAAACCAGCATGTCAGCTGAAACTTATTCTTTGACATTCATACTTCTCCAAATTTTGGCATGGATTTTTCCAATAAGAAGAATGTGTGGAAAACCCATAAGTTCATGAAAATAGCATACTAAAGCAAGTAAGCTTCAAATGCACTGTATTAGGCAATCACTTGAAAAAAAGGTGCATACTGGGTGGAAAGGTATATTTTGGGGAAATATCCATGAAAATGCTTAAGAATTTTCATACAAACTTTTAAAAAATTCTCAGAGTTCAGAACGAAGAGAACTTGGGATTGGAAAAATAAGAAAGCAAAAGAAACTGAAGTGAACAGTTTCTCTAGTTTTCATCCATTGTTGGTGCTTCCTCTGGTCTCCAGTAAGATAGTCAGTTTGGCCTGAAGGTGGACAAGGTTCACTATTGCCATCTTCTTAAAAATATGTATGTATAATTTGGCCCACCATGCAGAGTACAACATGCTTTATGTAATAATAAAAGTATTACTGAATCAGCAGCAAGTTGCTGGATACTCATTGCTTAATGCCTACTATACAACACAAAAGCTGGGTTGGTGTGAATGTAAGTTTTTCCTCCAGTGCAAATAAGGCCTCCAGTCTGGATTGCAGGAGACTGCAAGAACTTAAAAACATTATTCCTTCTCTGCACATAAACACACCAGAACAGGATGAGGTCACCTGTGCCTGCTTATTGCCATCCACACAATTGCTGACTATGTGAATGGCAGCACACCTAGATGTGTTGTGATAAGCTCCAGCAGGAGGTTTCAGAGTACCCCTTTCACAGACTCTACATTTTTGACTTTGTCTTGCCTTGCTAGGCAGATCTTCCTATGCTGTTTCATAACTCTGGTAGGTCTCCAGAACTTTACTCTGTGCTGCATATACTGTAGAGACAGTTCAGGCTTCCCAATCATTGAAGGTTTTTAAAGCTATTAATTGTGTGCCTGACCACTTAGCTCAGCTTCTCCAGTTTAGGGCCTTTCTGATGTTGCAGATTCACATCAGCCCCAGCCAACATGACCTGTGCTCAGGAATGGTGAGAGAAGCAGTCTAAAACAGCAGCAGGGCACCAGGTTGGGGGAGAGGGGCTGGCTTAGTTGATCAATAATATCAAAGTATAACTCGTGTGTTGAACATAGTCCCATAAATTAAGATACGGATCCTTTCCACTTAACATAATAGATTGCTCTGCCTGAGTTCAAAGGCTTACACAGATTTACACATGAATGGCCGGCAAGGGCTTCCCCATTCATTTTGGGGGTCAACAGCTTGCTTTGGCAGGATTAGGCTGCTGCAGGACTTTCCGTTCATGCATGGCAAGTTCTTCTAGCTAGTCTTTACCAAGTGATTGATTAAAGTCACTCAGTTCTCTTCTTCTATGAAGTGAGCAAACCTATGAAGCATTATGGATTTTTCTTTAATAACTTTTTATTGAACCATTTCCTCTCTGTACATTGTGAAGGATCAAAACCACAAATTCATAAATCATACATTTTATAAAGTTCAACTCTTCAGGAAAATAACCTCAGAACATAATAGCAATAGAAGGTGAATAAGCGCAAATAGCACAAATGAAATGTGGGCTTGTTCATCTTGGCATTTAAAAATATGTTCTATAAAATGCAATAAAGAAGATGAGATTTTAAAAGAAGCAAACAGCAACAAAAAGGATACTTGCTGTGTGTCATTTCTTTTACATCTCAGCTAAAATAAAATGCCTTTGCACTATTTGCAGAGCAAACACCCCAAGTAAATCATTGTACCTAAAATGAAACATATTAGTACTTGCTACAGGTGTCAGAACTTGGACCCTGCAAGTCCCAGCCCTGACCAGGAACACTTTGCAGGGAGCAGCTGAGAGGTGATCATGAGGTGCAGCTGGGGTCTGCAAACCTACATAAAAGGCCTCCCTGCATGGCTGCTCTCTGCCACAGCCATGCAAATTGTTTTTGTGACTCTTGTGTGCCCTGGTCCTCTGCCTCACCATGTCTTGAACCTTGCTCCAGCCTGCTCCTGTGTGTTCCAGCTTGCTCCAGCTGTCCCTGCCTTGAAAATTCTTACTTGATGCCAAAATGCTTCTTAAATCTTGTGGGGAGGATGAGATAATGAGAACAGGCCTTTCTCCAGGCTCGTTATCGCCAGTTGTAAAGTAATCCATTGTCTGCTTTCCTCCACTGAAGGTGACAGTTTTACCACTGTCCCCCAATTTTACCCCTTCTGGTATTTTGTGGAACTTTTTATATAGGAAACATTATTAGAACAACCATTTACATGTTTTGATTCTCAGGCTTTTTTTGCCTTAAGAGACTTCAGTGATCCTGTCCTAGTCCTGTTTTTCACCCTTAACACTTAGTAATAGTAACATTTCATTTCTCACAATCCACACTTTTTTTTTTTTTTTTTTACTGTTAATGTCAGTATCCTTTCCCCATGTGGGTTCATCTTCGGCATCGTGCTTGCCTGAATAGATTACACAGGGATGCCCAGGTGTTCTCCCATGTTAGTGCCTCCACATACATAACAGTTTGTCACATTCAGAGAGGAAGCTGTCCTCTCTGCCAAATCTACAAATAGATTCTTGGTGATTGCTGGAATCTCTATTTTTGTGTCCAGTTCTTCGTAGAATGAGTGGAACAACCTATGCTCCCTTGGATGTCTGACTATAGTTCTAATCCCCACATGGATCACAGTACCATGGTCTGATCCAGTTCCTGCAATTTGGATTCCAAACTGTCCCTTCCACTGTAGATTCCAGTACCTGGGCTTCAGAACTATGACGTTAACTGGAAAAACTGGACTGAGCCAGTCAACAGCTGGGGCAAACCCGGGTGGACCCCAGACCCGAGCCAAACAGAGCCTGAGACGAGACTTAGAGCCAAAACCAGCTTTATTCTAGTGCACTATAGGATAAAGGGAGACAAAAGGGGACATTCAGCCCAAAGCAGTGTCTCAAAAGTTGCACCCCAGTACATGCATTTTATACCCTAGGTAACCAATTAGGTCACCTAATACACATCTAATGCATTGATACATCAATGTATGTACCCCCTCCCATGCTAGAGAAAGAGTCCTTTCTTCTGTCAAGGACCAGACATTTCCCATGTCTATTTCTTATCTGCTCGAGATTCACACAGGCTTGCCATGTTCTTACTCCCTGCACATTTGCAACTTTCATGGCGGCTAGAACCAGTTTCCACTGTCCCTTTGATTACTGTATTCGAGGTCAGGCTAGCGTGTTAGCTGCGGGTTACACAAAGTTCCTTTTGTTCTTATCCGCCCTCCCTTCTGGGACAGTATAACTGTGGTGTTTTGTTTTGTTTTGTTTTGTTTTGTTTGTTTTTTTACTATGTGGCCTTCCTCTGGCCAACTACTTTTGGGGTGTTTTGGGGTGCTGCAGTTGGTAACACCACACAATCATGCTCTTACTCCAAGTCTCAACTGCCTCCTATCAAGAAATCTACAGGATTCACACCTCCTCCAGTAGTCAAAATCAAATCTAGTTGATTCATCAATACAGCCTTATTAAGTATAAGTCAGGAGTCAGTTAACCACTTTCCAGCCCTGGTGGCTAACAGAGCGTGCACCGGCTCTGTCCACCAATAAGGCTGCACAGGCTGTTTCCTCCATCCCTTTAATGCCAGCCCTCTCTTTGGCTCCCCTCCCTCAGTAAATACTGCAGTAGCAATTAAAAAAATGCTCCTATTCACCATGGCCTCATAAACTTTACTTTTAGCTCTTCCTCCATGGGGCACCTGAGCCCTTCAAGAGGAGAAGTGCAGCATCATTTGCACATCATTCCAAGTTGAGTGATAAAACATAGAAACAAAGTGAGTTAGAAAGGGGTTCTCTCCTGGTCATCTAGTCTGACCCCCTGTTTCAGTCAACTCTGTTCCTATAATCCACAACATGTGGTTGTCCAAACTTCTTCACTGATTGAACTCAACCACCTCCCATGAAACCCATCCCATTTTCTGGGGGTTCCTGACCCTCAGAGATTATCTTCTAACACTTAACCTGAAACCTAGTTCCTGGAGTTTTGTTTTATTCAAATACATTCTGCCCTTCTGGCATTAGTCCAATTAGTGCTTTGTAACAAACTTATCACCTTTTCAGAATCCTCTGGAAAAACTAGGATTCTGATTCTTTTAATTTTACAACTCAGAGGTGGCCGATGGTTGTTAAACACACACACAAACATAAACACAAACCCAGGCAGAACCTGCCACAGTGGCATCTGCCTTTCTTGCTGTTAAGTTATAGCCTGCTCACTTTTGAGTCCAATGCAATAAATTTTGGCAGGGAGAGGCATCATGCCCCCCCACTTTTCTTTCCACAAAGTGTACAATTTTCCTTCCAGGCCTCACAAGCACCAGCTGCCTGTGGTTTTAGAGATAAATCAGAATCGGTCTTCCTCATTAGCTTTGTCTCTACCTCCCCTTCAACGCCTTTTACCCAAAAATCTGAGTCT